TCGTTGGTTGAGGGACCCCCGGTTCCAAAACACCGACAGAATGTTCACTGATTAACTATCTTCGATTCTGAGCGTTCATCACTTCGCCCTCCATTGATACGGGATGGGATCTAGCTCTAGACAGAATTCTTGCGGACACGAGGTCTCTCTTCTTGTAATATATAAGGAGTAGCTCGCCCAAAAGACATGATGAAACATTTTTGAAGTGTCCATACACAGTATGTATATACCATAATCATCGACATATAGGCCATAGTTGGTACCAATCACACCAAGAGCAACATACTAGCGAGCAGTGTAGGGTCATAGGGTTGCTACAGTCTAGTACGGTGCCGTACTCATTTGTACATGTATTTTGTGGATGTGTTGTACTTGTAGTATACCCATGTTGTAGCAGTGATCTCTCGTCACTCAGTCTGTTCGCTTACTCGTATATGATCGTTGATTATAAGCTGAAACAATATTTTTCTCTCACACCAAATCAGTCAGCAGTAAATAATCCACGATCGTTTACGGCCTGCCGAACAGGTTGACTGAACGTGAAAGGAATACATAAAACTAAAAAAAAATCAGTGAATGGTGCAATAGCGTAAGTATGTTACACGGTACTTGTGCTACTCTTTTTTTGCTCGTGGTTAAGTGGAATGTTGCTTAGCTACGTTAAAAGTGGTTTTGAGCAATATGAATGACATATGTGTGTGCTCTCTTATTAGAGAAAACAAGTGAAGAATCTGTTTATATATGTCTACAATTTTTTTTACTGATATGGACGAGAGAAGACAATTTCACTATCATGCAAATAACAAGCTAAACACAGAATCATAGGTAGCCCTGGGTCCGAATAGAGATATATGTAAGGAGGTATATGAAAGATAATGAAAATATATAATAATAAAAAATTATAGATAAATAGAAGACTAACTATTGTATAACAACTTTTATGACCTAACTTATACTTAAGTATTTAGCTCTATTATTGACTTTGCTCTTAGAATTTTCTTGAGTATCAGAGTTTCGGCGTCTTCGGTGGACTTTCCTTGCCTTTTGGACTTAGGGCAGTCCCAATTAAACATTAATAATGGTTTTTATTTCTATTAAATGTGATGTCATCCAAGTAAAATGTTAACATGGTAGCCTAGTTGTAGAAAATTCGTAGAAATCGTTTCCTCTGATACAAACGACGTCTTCTCTTCACCCAACGGCCAACGCACGAAGAAACCATGGAATAGGGAGAAACCACCCGTTTCTAGGGGCCGCTCACCCCCGCCCCGCTCGGCCGCGCCGGCCGCGTCCACTTTGCTCCGCCGGCCACGTCCGCTCCGCTCCGCCGCGACGACCGCGTCCGCCGCGCCTGCAGCGCCCGCTCTGCTCTGCTCGGCCGCGTCCGCTCCGCCGCGCCGGCCTCGTCGGCAGCAACGCGCGCTCGCCCGCGCTTCCAAGCTGCAGCCTGCAGGTATACTTGTGTGTACTCGTGTGGTTGGGAGAGATTCAGAGAACGGAGAGGGTGTTCTGCGTCGTGTACTCTCCAGCCGCGCGCTCGCCGGCCTGCGCTCGCCCGCGCCGCCGCCGCGCAGGTTGCACCTCTAGCCGTCGCGTGCAGGCCGCGCCGCCACGCGCCTCTGCCCGCGCTGGCCACACGCCGCCGTGCCCGGTCGCGCTGGCCGCGCTCGCTCGCGCCGGCCCCGCCCGCTTCGCTGCGGCTGCCACAAGCTGCCATGCCAGCACCGGAGCTGCTGCATCAGCAGCAGCGTGCAGCAGGAGCTGCGCCGGCAAGGCGGGGAAGCAAAAACAACAGCCGCAGGTGGAGGGCAATGGCATGTTCGTGTTCGGGAGCTCGCTGGTGGACAACGGCCGCAACAACTTTCTCAACGGCTCCGGCGTGCGTGCCGACTACCTCCCCTACGCTCGTCTGCCGCTTGCGCTCGCCGGCGCTGCCGCGCACTCATCTGCCGCATGCGTTCTCTCTCTTTTTTTTTTTTGCGACTCATTCTCCTGCTGTCCTGCATGTGGGAGAGAACCAAAGCAGAGAAAGTATCGGAGGGAGGAAGAGATATGGAGAGAGAAAAAGAAAGGTTAATATTTATTATGCCAAAACACTTCGTAGTTTCTATAGATGATTTTTCGGACGTGGTTCTTTTAGACACTGTGTGTAGTTTCAATCGTAGGGACTGTCCTTAGAAGATGACATCGGAGGCCGACGATGGGTGAAACGGTGTGGCGACAATGGCATCATTAAGATTGAGGCAGTGGATGATGAATGCCAGGCCACCTAAGAGCGGAGGAGCTTGGTTTGCCATAGTAGTTAGTGCTACAGGATCAAGGGCGTAGATCTAGTGCCACTCGAGACGATATTAGATGGTAGAATAAGGAAGCAAGTCGTGAAAGGTATGAAGGAGAGCATGCACATTTATTTATATTTCGTGAGAGAAATACCTGAGGTTGAAGATAACTTCTGAACAGTTAAAGGAAACTCTAATTGAATGAAAAAAAAAACTTTGACGGGAGATGTAGGCCTAAGGAATATAACTCACCTTTATTTTACTTGATTACTAGCAAGGAGCACTAGACGTCTTAGTACATCACTTTCTCGTTCAACTTGTTCCCTTAGGGTTAGGGTTTGTGTTATTGGAGAGAACTCTATCCATACGAGGACACTTATCTATTCACCTACATGCTCGCTTGTTTATTCACGGTACGATTACTAATAAAAGCTTCGATGAGTAAAGTGACATGGTAAGTGTACGTGCTCTTATGGTGCGAGTTTCAGATACCATCAATTTGTTCGCTTTCTATTGGTACGTGGTTGTAGTTGCACGGACTCTTAGGTACAATAGAAGATAGTTTTGGAGTTGACGCCACATCTGAAGCATTAGTCAAAAGAATATGAACGAGCGCACCCTACATGTCTTGTGCTTCACGGCTTCAGAGTTGTGCATAATAGAGAGATAAAACAACCAATGGAACGAGGATAGAGATGCATAAGTTTCTTACACTATTGGAACTCTAACTTTGAGTTCTATTGATATCTCTTCGATGTCATCGATTTAGATTTCAATCACCTTTAATGTTGATGAGAATGGCACGAAAGATATTGATTTTAGCGGTGGAAAATATGAATTACTAGGCTTCATCACAATAAGAATGCCTATGTCAATGATTGGATGGAGATAAATGGTTCAAAGTTCCTGAGAAAGTTGAGTATAAGAGTATTACCAAGAGGCTCTTTGTATGACTGTTTAACGAAAGATTGAAAAAAGGGCAGGCCCAGTGCCGGAGCCTCCCACATGAGTGGGGTCTGAGGAAGGGAAAAACCGAGGTAAGCCTTCCCCCCGCAAAATCTGCGGAGAGGCTGCTTCAAACTCGTGACCTAGTGACTCAGTGAGACAGCAGGCCTGCCCTTCAAAGGGAAAACGAAAGATTGGAAAACAATAAAAAAATCAGGTTTCAATATAATACACTCTAAACCACTATTGATCTTCTTCACCCTCCAAAGTTTCTTGCTTTCTACTAATAGAGAGGCTACATTGTTCTCTAAATTTCAATGTCTTAGTTCTCCCATGAACTTTTTTGCAAGGAAGATAAAAATAAGTCATTAGAATATAGAGAATGAAACTTAAAAAGCAATGTTTTCAAGGCGGTAAGGCGAGGCGTGGCGACCGACTACCGCCTTACGATTAAGCGACTAAGGCGTAAGGCGAGGCGACGCCTTAACATCTTAAGGGAATCTTAAAAAAAGCAGCTTAGAGTGGTAGATAACGAAGAAAAACGAAAAGGAAAAAGGAAAAGAAAGGAGAAGGAGCAAGAAGTAGTTGGGCCCAACCCACTAGGCAACCCATATAACCCTCACCTTTGACCTTCCTGTTTCCTCTCTCGAACTCCCAATCCTCTCTCCAGCGCCGCCGCATTGCTTCCCTCTCTCCTCCAGATGTTGCAGGTCAGCGCCGATTGGGGGAACATGGCCGTAGCCCGCATAGGCGGCCGCACGGCTCGGCGACGGACGTGCAACAACTTCTCCCATCGGCGCGGGAGAACGTGTCTGCACGGGCGAACTGCGGCTTCTAGTTTCCCTCCCGCTCTCCTGCTGGTGAATCTCCCGCGCTCTCTCTCTCTCTCTCTCTCTCTCTCTCTCTCTCTCCCTCCTCCGGTGCACTCTGTTTCTCCCGCGCACCCCTTCTCTTTCAGTTTTCCCCGCTGTTTCCAATCCTTCTCACACGTTTTCCCGCCGCTCAAAACAGAGGTCTCCCCATAAGGTGAGTCGTTTGCTGTGGCGTCCCGCGTGGAGCGCCTTGGCGATTAAGTGACGACAAAGCGACGCCCTGAAACCATTGCTTAAAAGGTATAGAGAATCAAGAGATATATTTCCAAATAAAGACAGGCTTCTAGAGCCGCTGGGCGAATTTCAGGCATCGGAGGTACAGAAAATGTGACGCAAGTTTTTCCTTTTTTATTGATTGCCAAGCCCAGGCGCCCGAGCTCATCTTTATCAGCAAAGCCTTCTTCCGTCATCCAGCCTGCCAGGCCCAATGTCAACTGCATCACGCAGGCCGCAGAAAAGAACCCAGTACCCAAGAAACCAACGCCATCGACGACACCTCCCTCGTCGTATCCCCGCCGTCCATCTAGCCCACAGCCGGCCTCCTACGGTCCTACCCACCAACCCGATCCCGGACCGGACTCCCCCACCGCTCATAAATCCGGAAGCGAAAAATAAAAAATTCCCCGTGCTGTGCTGTGTTCTACTCTTACACCCCTGCGACTAATCCCCCTCATCGCCCGCCCCCCTCGTCTCGTCTCCCCCCTCCGCTTCGCGCATCTCACCGCCATCTCACTCCCGAACCCCCCCTCCTTTCCTTCCCGCGTCTAATTGAGCGCCAAAGCGGGGGAACATTTGAATTCCCCGCAGCTTCCGCTTCCAGCGGCTTCTCGAACCTTCCGGAGGCGCCGCCGGCCGGCGCCGGCTCCATCCCCTTGCCCCCTAGGGTTTCGCGTTCCCCTCGGGGATGGGGGACGCCCCCGCCGCCGCGGCGGCGGCAGCGTCGCCCGCTTGTGCCTCGCGGAAGCGGCGACGCGGCGATGACGGCGCGGGGCTGAGGCGGGTGGCGGAGATCGTGATGGTGCTGGCCGCGGCCGGTGAGGTGCGCGGCGGGAGGGAGCCCATGGCGGCGGAGCGGGCGCTCGCGGCCGAGGCGCGGGAGAAGCTGGCCGCCGCCGTCGCCGAGGGGGCCGTGCGGCCCAAGGATCTGTTCCCGGGGGAGGCGGTGCGCGCGGTCGTCGAGGATCTCGGGCTCAACCGCGCCAAGGACCCAGCTGCCATGGGCTTTCGCCCGCCCAAGGCCTCCATCGCCGATAGGCTCATGCTTACTAAGCGCAAGGTTTTGCTAACTCTCTCTCGTTTGCACCTATTCCCGCGCAGTTAATAGCCATCGTGGTGAACCGGTTGGAGCTTTGAAAATCTGAACTGGGGTGATAAATGCGATGTGAGAATGCTTGTATGGCTATTGGACTGTATTAGTTTGTATGGCATGGCACTGCTGTTTGCATGGCGCAAGCTATCGCTTCTGAATGATGCGTTAGCGAATAGGAATAATGATTCCAGGGATTCTTGGATAACTGCTTGTATATGGATATGCTATGTTCCTTTTGTCGTATTCTAATTCGGCACATTTTATTTGCTCTTGGAGAGTTTCTGGCAGTGTCTCATAATATTTACTTATCATGTACATGCTTCGAGCAAATGTTTATGTTTCGGTTACTTGTTATTGTAGAATTAGTATGTCTGCAACTTGAGTGTCGCCTTTGTCTTGTTTTTTTTAGATAAAGGATATTTCATACCCGGCTTCATCTACCTCGCGGTAGAATCAGGCCAATTATTACAAGATTTTGGTTTATAACCAATATTCAAAGGACAATTCTTGGCACCTCACAGCCACAAACTAAGAAAACAACCCATAAAAGAAAGACCAGACTAAGACAGACCAATAAACCTATTTGACAACCATCCATTGGAACTAAAAAAATGCAGATCGGCTGTCTCCAAACGTTGACCAGCAAGAAGGAGCTGTTGTCGTGTGTCGTCATGCCGCTGCAGTCCGGCCCATTGCCTTAGCCAATAAGTTCCCTTGAATAACACCTGCAAAAAGGTTTTTGGTTTACATTTGTCAAAAACTACCTCATTTTGAATAATTGATTATTGTCTTGTCATGACTTTTCCAGCTCAAGCGGTTTCTAAGTGCGTTTTCGGTTACAAATTACCATTACTTTCAACTTAAAAATTAGTGTCTGTGCAAAACACGATGTATGTATACCATCTGACTGTTTCATTTATTTACAGATGGAAGAAGTCAAGGAAGCTCCAGTGCAATCAACAGTTAGCGCACCGCAAACAGTCGTCTCAAGTGGAATGTCTGAGTTCCATGGTTTGAATGGGGCTACCAAGTTTGGTGTTGGAGTTCCTAGGAACCCACCAGTTCCATCTTTAGCTGCTACTGCCCCATTAACCTCTACATCCCCAGCTACCTTGAAACCACCAGGATCATCTCCTGTAAAACCAGTTGCCAACTCATCAGTTATTCCCCAACTCCATACTGCTACATCAAACCTTAAATTGGACAAAAATGTTAGTGGTCCTCTGAATTTAGCACGCAATGGAGGTATTTCCCTGTCTTCCTGTTCGCAGCATCTCTTATTTATTTATTTATTTACCTTTTGGGTAAAAGTAGGCACTTCTTACTTTAGCTTATTGTATGTAAATAAGATGCCTTCTTGGGCATGTTGATAGCTTTTGGATATGATCTCACTGCACATCCAAATCCTGAGTCCGTACACTGCTCAAAGCTGCAAATAAGATGGACAAAAAATTTTAGCTATTAGATATTAGAAATACACCCTCCCCGTGTTTCATTTTGTTGTTCAAGAGTGAGCAAAGCATATAAAGCACAACAGTTGTATGACAACTGCTGTGGCTAATGAACAGTCAAGCTGCCTGACTTTTAATTAGTCTTTTACTGTAGCATCTATGTCTTTTTCTCTGAACACTCTTTCCTTCGGAAAATTGTGCTTAATTTATCAAACTGCCACTTGTTAGTTCCAATCTTTGCATATCCCTGTGCACAAAAGGTGGAGGGGCGTTATATATCCCTGATTATAGAATTAGCTGATGTTTTCCTTTTTCATTAACATTGCTCACAAACTAATTTATCCGTATTGCTTACTGCTGCAGCAACTGTTGTCCACTCAAACAAGTCAACTCTAGAAACATCTGCTAGGTCCAATGTAAATGCTGTACAGAGTTCCAATCAGATGGTGAAAAACCAGGACACAAAACTTGTGGCAGTTCAAGCCACGGCAGGTAACCCTGTTATGGGGCATCGTGCCACACCAGGTGTGGCATTTGTTCCACCAAAACCTACTTTTGTCAATCACAATGAGATAGCAAAGAATGTTCAACAGTTTCTGCACCAACCTGGAAACCATCCTAGCTGGACTCCACCATCAACTGAGTACATGCATTCTCGCTTGAGTTGTCAAATATGCAAAGTTGTTATCATTGGTACAGACAGTGTACTTGTTTGTGATGCTTGTGAGAGGGGAGTACACTTGAAATGCCTTCAGCAGTATGGCAATAAGGGTGTCCCTAAAGCTGAGTGGCATTGTTCTGCATGCCTGACTCAGAGTAAGGGCAAACCCTTGCCACCAAAATATGGCAAGGTTACAAGAACTGTAGTTGCATCAAAGGCTGCTCCACCTGGTGGTGGAGCACAGCTTTCTTTGCAAGGATCAGCAGAAAACATGGCTGCAAAGGGAAATCACCAAAAGTTGGCTGCAAATGGAAACCTTATGAAGCCAATCTCCACTCAAGGTGGCAGCACAGCACCCAACAGTAATGTATTGGCACTGGGTGCTGTTATGGCTGGTTCACAGTCACAATTAGTTTCTACCTTAAGATCATCAATAGTTGTTAAAGCTGAAACGTCCTCTAATGGAAAGGAAGGAACTGGGCAACCGTGCAATACTACAATACAACCTGATGTGAGATCATCCCCTCTTAACAAAAGATTGAGAAGTGATTCCTCTTTGAACCCTGCAGATTCAGCAAATGATATCATGCATGGTAAGCATACTGCAGAAATTTCTGGTGCTGAAGCAAAGGTCAAGTCTGAAGCAAACTCTGAGACCCCTGTGAGTAGAGATGAGGAATTGGTTGATAGTAGTGGAACATCAATTGAAACTGAACAAACCAAGGTTGTTGCTAGTGAAGAAAAGCCCAGGGCTCAATCAACCATTGAGACAGATAAAATGAAAGATGGAGAGACGACTACCAACACAGGAACAACAACAGATCAATGCAGCAACTTCGGTACTGAAGAAAAGCTCTCCAGTGAAGCAACTTCTGAGGCACATAGAATCACTGACGTGAAGATGACTAGCAGTACTGGAATACCAGTACAGCAAAGCAACATTGCTACTATTGAAGAGAAGACCCAGATTGATGCAGTGTCTGATCCATATCCACATACAATCCAAGATATGGAAATGGGCACCAACAATGGACCACCCATAGATCAAAGCAGCAGTCTTGTTGCTGAAGAAAAGCCCCCTGAACAATCCTCTTCAATTGGTGATGTGTGTGTCACCGCTAATGCTGGAATACCAACAGATCAAACACAGAATCCAAATGGGTCAACTGAAAATGTAGTAAAGAAATCTCCCAACAGAGAACTATATAAAGAGAAATCAGGCTGTAATGTAGTCTCAGATATTACCCAAAAAGTAACTTCAAATGGCATCTTGCACCCTGAGGACAAAACTTTATTTGTTCACGAAGATGAAGCAGTGGGTTGTGACACAAGCAAAAGAAGAAGCAAACTAATTTAGTAGCAGGTTGCATCCAATTTTCGTTTTTCAGGTCTGAAAATCTTGCCTGTTTTGATTTATGTTGATAGTGATTCTTTTAAATTACATTATTTGAAATTGATGCTTGTAGCTCTGAGTTATTCTTTACTTATTATGGCTATGTCAATCACATTAGCTTATTTGAACTCATGGTTTACAAGTATTCTTAGGCCACCTTTAGTAGCCTGTATTTATTTCAGCCCATGTTTTTCCCCCAACTCTGAAAACTGTAACCTTGTATGGCCTTTTGGATTGAACATTTGTATCTTACCTTATCTTAAATCTTTTCACAGATGGAACTATTCTGAATCTACCATTTGTTTTACCAACATCAGTGATCAACTGTGTTCTCTACATTCTCTTGGACAGCATTATAAATTTAGTCATCACCAACCATTTTTCCAGGAGGTTAGTTCTGTGCCCCTTGGAAACATGCTCACCTGGCCTACTCCATTCGTAGTTTACTGGTATCACCACATTTTTTGCAAAAAATATTTACGTTCCTGCTGACATGAGGTTTACTAAACTCTGCAGGTACTGCCTTCTGGTGTAGTTAGAGAATCCTAGAACACAGGAAATATAATCGTGATGTTGTACTTTATGTGATTGATAATCTTGAGTTCCTAACTATTTAATTCCATTTCCCCTTTTATTTGTTCTGTGCTCATCTGTAATGTTGTAATTAGATAGGTTTTAGCTGAGTTAGGACTGGATTATCGAGTCACAATAATTATATTAGCCTAATTATCACCCCGGGCCATGTTCCAATGTGATACAGTCTACCGTGCAATCTATCACCACCACCGGCCTGCTAACTCATGCCACTCGCTATAAGTCTCCAATCCTTCTGTCAGTTTGTAATGTTTGCAGCTACTTCATCCGAAGTTTGCTGTAGGGTTACAAACGAGAGGGAGTAAGACGGGGGTATCAGAGGTCTGGTCGGACTTTGGACCGAAGGGCCGAGAGTGACGAGAGCTCCGATGTACGCTAAGTGTTCGAGCGTATGCTCTATTTGCCTTAGAGTTCTAGAGCCAAGCAGAGAGAATCGGAGTGATTCATTTGTTGTTTGTTGGAATTGTTCCAATTGATCGTCCTTCTTTTGGAGAGCGTATCCCTTTTTATAGATGAGGGGGACGGCTTTACAAGAAAGAGTGTGAGAGAAAGAGTGTGTGTGTGCTACTTAGTCTTGTTACCCACGTCGTCGGATGCAAGGTGGTTTGTCGGCGCCCACGATACTGTTGATGGCTGGATGCATGTGGTTGGTTCCACTGCGTTCTTCTGGTATGGCAAATGTCGGCGCCTACCATACTATAGGATAAATGTCGGTGCCCATAACACTGTTCGTGCTCTGACACGTCCTCGGTATTGCGGTTGACTTGAGAGCCCTGCCTTACTTGCTTCGCCTAATTCTTTGGGTTCTTACCGAGCGGGCGTCTCCGTTCGGTCGTTTCCCAGTTGGCTCCGACCGCGCTGGTCGGAGAAGAGCTGCAAGCAGAGGTTCGGTGTACTCCCAGTCGGAGAAGCGGGTCAGAGTCGGAAGCGGGCGTCGTCCTCTCCTTTGCCAGGCCTTTCAGTCGGAGAGGCGGGCCAGATTCAGAAGTGAGCATCGTCCCTCCTTGGCCAGGCCTTTCGGTTGGAGAGGCGGGTCGAAGTCGGAAGCTAGCGTTGTCCTCTCTTTGGCCAGGCCTTCCGATCGGAGAGGTGGGTTGGAGTTGGAGGCGAGCGTCGTTCCTCCTTGGACAGGCCTTTCGGTCAGAGAGGCGGGCCAGAGTTGGAAGCGAGCGTCGTTCCTCCTTGGACAGGCCTTCCGGTCAGAGATTGGATCGCCCTTCTGGCCTGTCGTTAGGTTTCTGGGCCGGTCCAGGAGTTGCGCGTCGTTCGCAACGTCGTCTGCTGGGCCGAGCTTTTGCTAGGAAGCAGGTCCATGAGGGACCCCGGGTTTATGAACCCAACAAGAAGCTTACTGCTCTGATGACATACGGGAAGGCAAAAGGGCTATGTTTCAAATATGGTGGCAAATGGGGCCTTCAACACAAATGCCCAACTACTGTACCTCTCAATGTGATTGAAGAAGTCTAACAATATCTGGGAGATCCTGCTGTTTGTTCTGCTGAATCCAGTTATGATTCTGACCCTGATGAATTGATGGCTCTCTCTGATCAGGCTGTCAATGGGACCATTGCAGCTCACACCCTCAAGATACATGCTTATATTCAGTAGAAATCAGCTATCATTTTGGTGGACTCTGGAACTCTCATAATTTTATTAGTGAGCACATGGTAGCTGACTTACATCCCTGGACTCCTCTTAAACGTTCCATGTCAGTCAAAGTAGCTGATGGTGCTACCATTGCATGTTCTCATGAAGTGATCAATTGCTCATTGATAGCACAAGGGGTTATGTTTACTACAACATTCAAAATTTTACCTCTACAATGTTATGATGCTATATTAGGCATGGGGTGGTTAGAGATGTTCAGTCCTATGCAAATTCAGTGGAAGGAGAAATGGCTTAGTTTCTCTCATCAAAATTCTACTATTAGACTCCATGGTGTTCAGGATGCTGTAGTAGATGTCAATGCCATAACAGTGCATCAGCTCATAGCAATGGAGAAACAAGATGCAATCTGGGGAATAGTTGAATTGTACTCAGTTGAACCTGCTGTTGATTTAGTTACCATGCTTTACCACCTAAATTTCAAGAGTTGGTGGATCAGTTTGCTGAATTATTTGAAGAACCGTCTAGAATTCCTCTCAATAGAGACCTCACTCATTCTATTCCTCTGGTACCTAGGGTCCAACCTTTCAGGCTTAAACCCTATAGATATACTCCCTCCCAGAAAGATGAGATTGAAAGGCAAGTGGAACATCTGCTCAAGTCTAACATGATACAAGAAAGTACCAACCCCTTTGCATCTCTAGCTCTCTTGGTCAAGAAGAAATCTGGTGAATGATGCCTCCGTGTTGATTATAGAAGGCTCAATGCCTATACCGTCAAGACCAAGTTCCCTATGCCTATTGTTGAGGAACTTTTTAGGAACTCTATGGGGCTGAATGGTTTACACCATTGGACTTAAGGTCTGAATTTCATCAAATCTTGGTCAGTCCTGAAGATCAGTACAAGACTGCTTTTCAAACACATCATGAACATTATGAATATTTGGTCATGCCCTATGGTCATACAAGTGCTCCTACCACCTTTCAGACCATTATGAATCATGTTCTGGCTCCACTACTGAGAAAGTGTGTGGTTGTGTTTATTGATGACATATTGATCTATAGCAACTCCGATGAAGACCATGTTCAACATGTGCAGTTAGTGTTTCAGTTGCTCCAAGAACATCATTTCAAAGTTTTACTGTCCAAATGCTCATTTGCTCAACAACAATTATCATATTTTGGCCATACTCTCAGTCCTAATGGGGTTTCCACTGATCCTGGCAAAATCAGGGATGTTCAGTTGTGGCCATCTCCACAGTCAGTCAAAGATGTCAGGAGTTTTTTGGGATTGGCAGGCTATTATCGAAGATTTGTCAAAAATTTTGGCATGATAGCCAAGCCACTTGCTGATCTTCTTAAGAAGGGCACAATTTTTCTTTGGACTGATCTCTGTGAAGAGGCATTTCAGCTATTAAAAGAGTCTTTAGTGTCTGCTCTAGTGTTATCACTCCCAAATTTTAACAAGCCTTTTGTCATTGAAACTAATGCATCAGAGATAAGCATAAGGGCAGTACTACAACATGAAGTCCACCCCATTGCCTAGTCAGCAAAGCCTTAGGACCCAAGACACAAGGGCTGTCTACTTATGAAAAGGAGAGTTTAGCAATTTTAATGGCCATTGATCATGGAAGGCTTATCTGCAACTAGTTGAATTTATTATCCATACAGATCACAAAAGCCTTACTCATCTCACTGATCAAAGGCTTCACACTTACTAGCAACATAAGGTACTGACTAAGCTCATGAGTTATCAGTACAAAATCACCTATAAGAAGGGCACAACTAACAATGCAGCTAATGCCTTGTCACGGGCTCCTCATCCTGCTGCTCAGTTAAATGCTATTTCAGTTGCTCAACCTCTATGGCTTCAAGCTCTGCAACAAAGTTATGATTCCAATTCTAAAGCTCAACAAATGTTAGGTTCCTTGGCGTTACAAAACCCTCTTGGCCACTTCAGTTTACACCAAGACATCATTAAGTATAAAGGTGCTATCTAGTTGGGCCATTCTCCAGAGCTTCAGAACAAAGTCACTAAATGACTACATGCTTCACCCATTGGTGGCCACTCTAGGTTTCTGGTGACTTATCACAGAGTGCATAGGTTGTTCTATTGGCCACATATGAAGACCACCATCAAAGTGTTTGTCTCTGAATGCTCAGTCTGTCAATAGGCTAAAACAGAAAGGATTCCTTACCCTGCGTTGCTCCAACCTTTGCCTGTACCTTCTCAAGCATGGACAGTAGTGACAATGGACTTCATTGAAGGTCTCCCAATCTCTTCAGGCTATAATTGCATTTTAGTAGTGGTGGATAAGTTTTCCAAGTATTCTCACTTTGTGAAGTTGAAGCACCCCTTCTCAGCTCTCACTGTGGCTCAACAGTATATGGAGCACGTCTACAAGTTACATGGCATGCCCACAGCTAATGTTTTTGACAGAGACAAGGTTTTCACTAGCCTACTATGGCAGGAGCTCTTCAAACTCACTGGCACTCAACTATGCATTAGTTCAGCTTATCATCCTCGAAGCGACGGGCAAACTGAGAGGGCCAACCAATCTATTGAGACCTATCTCCGATGCTTCATTCATGCCTGCCCTCACAAGTGGTCACAGTGGCTGCACTTGGTGGAATTTTGGTACAATACCTACTACCATTCCTCACTGCAGCATCCACCTTTTGAAGTCTTATATGGCCACCATCTTCACCACTTTGGCATTGACCCCGATCAAGATTGTGCAATTTCTGACTTGGACCAATGGCTTC